TCAATTGTCTATGATTTTACAACTAATTACTAATTTATTTTGTAAATTATGATTTATGTATACTTATTTCTCCCTTATTAAAGACCGTTCTTTTACGACCATGAGTAATGCGGATCGCAGCACCCTTTAATAGGTGTGATGGAATAAATGATTCAGTTAGTTAGTTAGGCCTGGGCGTCGGAGTTTATGATGCCATAAAACTATATTCTCCTCTTTTATGGAAAAACGAGCTTAATAGCGATGCTCGTCGAAAGTGAAGACGCGCTCGCCTTTCCGATCTATCTTTTCACGCAATCTCTCTCTTTCGTTTCAGCCCCTCAAATATAATCTCAGCCGGGCGCCGAGCGACATTATTTGAAACAATAATTTTATTTCCCTCGACACAATTTCTGCACCATTCAACTCGTCAAAAGGAGCGGCGTTTCTTATTCTTTCTGCTCTTGAAACTCTCGAGACGTGAGCAGCGCGCGCCATTACCGTCGTTCTGTATGGCTTCATTAGGCGCACAATTGCAATTTTTCCTCGGCGCGCGCTAATTTCGGACCCACGCACATTTCGCTTCATCTGCGCGCATACAAAGTTTCCGCGCTTTGAGTCTCTGCAGCGACACAAGGATAAAAGTTTATCTACTGGCGGAATATTTTATACCCTATCCGGGAGGGTTGAACAACACAGATTCAACCCTGCTCGCTGCCCACCCTGCACCTCAATTTCAGACACTGTCTCTTATCTTGCTGGAAACACACCCCAACACGCTTCTCGTGAGCAGAAGGAAATTTACAAAATTCCTTTCGCCCTTACGCACGGCAGACTAGCTGTTGAATTTATCTTTTCAACCGCCGGTGGCAATCAGTTCCCCCTTGATTTGTTTTCCAAATCTTGGCACGTCTCACGACAAATGACGTAATGATGACATGAGGGTAAATTATCCGGAAAATTAAAGAATGTCACAAAATTCAGAAAATAATAAATATGGCTATATTGATTAAATCAATTTCTATCCAACAAAGCCATTCAAAGCAATACACGTGTTTGTACATTATGATTCATCCAGACAAGTTCATTATATATTTTTTTTTCTGAACATTTGCATGCAGAAAAAATACGTAGTTTTTTTTTAATTTTAGTAAAACGTTGCATAGTACAATAGAGAGCTTCATATTAGCAGATATTAAAAACATTATTTGTTATAATATTTTAATTATAAGTTAACCTCCTCTCAAATTTTAACTAATTCGTGCAATTCCAATGCGTTCGTTTATCCAGTTGGCTTGGTGAAGTTAATTATTTATTCAAATCAATTCATTTTCGTTTTCTCTGAACAAGTGAAAAGAGAAAATGAATTCCTTGTTGTCAATTGCATATAGCGATCAAAGAGATCGAATTAATGATTTCCGTGTATCAAAACTTAAAGAGAAGAAACGCTGAATGTATTGTGATTTGTGATTGATTAGCTCCAATAATAAATCAAATTAATTTTCCACTTCACTTTGATTTGCCCATATTTATTATAAGGAAAATTCATTATATTTTCCATTTTATTAAAAACTCATTTGTCAAAATTGACAAAGCAGTAACGATAAACTGCGAAATTCATCAATGAAACAAATAACCTTAAAAAAAAAACTCTTTGTGTTTCCAATTATTTGTGCTTATTCGGAAAATAGATGCAAAGATTCTTTGCTAACTTCATGTCGTCTGCACGATATGATTTTGAATCAAATTTCAGAAAATCCATAAAGCAATCTCTTCTATTAATACAACTTTGCAATGCTCAATTTCCTCTTCCCTTCCTCAGAAATTTCCATTGAAGATCCTCAAAGAATCATATTTAATTCAAGTTTTCCCGAGAATTTTCTCGCTCGTCTGAATTCGAAACATTTCCTCCTTCATAAAACGATATTATGATTATTCAAAATGCTGGCAAATCCCGATGTAAAGTTTTTACTTCGTGAGGTGCAGAGAGTTATTTGCACAATGGGGTTTAATTGTTTCTCGGAGAAGAGACGATTTTGCAATTCAAATTGGCCAGCTCCAAACTATAGCCGCCTTTCGCAGTGGGAATAACTGCTGAATAAATTTCAACTTGGTGCCCTTTCACGCCAACGCTTGTGTGCGACAAAGAATGTGCGCTGTTTCCGTTTTTCACGAGAGATTTATATGTGTATAATTCCACGCACGGCACTTCCATTTTTAGCACTGTATTTGCATGATCTGCAAAAGTGGCGTCATAAATATTAAATTTTTAGCAGGATCAACGGCCACTGTTTGGGAGTAAAATAAAAAATAAAATGTGTGCAATCTGGAGATTCAGGGGCCTTTATTGGATGGAGCAGGTGCTTCTTTATGGCTTCCGCGTCATTTGCCAAAAATTAAACCTGTCTGCCTCATAAAGCAAAGATGGTGCTCTTGAGAGCTTCCTGACAGTCTGTGATACGCAAATGGAAGTTCAGCAACAACTTTTTTCAACGTCTCGTCAAATATCTGAAGCACACTTGGGACAAAATATAATGGCTCTCTTAAATTATGAAAGTTGGCAGACATAAAAGAAAAACTAAAAAGTTATTATTTTACCCTGCATTATGAACATTCTTTAAATAAAGTCTAATTTTTATACAATAATTTAATTGTTGACTAGGGAAATGTGTAAAAAGACGTCTGACAACTTTTGCATGGCAAAAAATTAAGTAACAACAGAGAGCTAAATTTCTTGAAGTTTCTTTCAGTTTAAATTTTTTTAAGGCCATAAAAATTTCTTTTCAAATGTATAATTATATGAGTTAAAAAATTTATTTTTAATTTTCTCACTATTTCAGTGATTTTCAGATCGTCGTTGCAAAAATTCCAAAGGATTTTAACTATATTTTATGTAACTTGCAGCTCAATTTTGGGGGAGCATCCGCACTTCCTTTTAGTTCCTCTCATAACTCACTTCCAAATTTGGAAGTCAAAAGCGAGGAGAAATGTGAATGGTTTCATAGGGAGCAATAGAAGAAAATAAAATACTGCTTTCCACGTTCCCTTTTTATGGCAGGCACACGCTCGCGCGCGAATAAATCGCCTTTCAAATACGAAGAAGTGTGAACTGCATGCATTATTCTTATCCAGGGCGTGTGGGCGCCCCTTTCCTTATCAAGCCACCGAAAGGGGTGAAGAAGCCAAAGGAGCAGAGAAGAGTGGGCCAAATCCACCAAGGAAATAAAAAGAACGCAAATGGAATGCATAACTCGGCGGTGGCTCTTTCTTTCTAGAAGAAAGGACGGAAAGATGGACGGTCGGCCAGAGAGCAAAATTGAGGAAAATCATCGCCGCGCTCTCGAAATTATCAAAGTTTGATTAAAACGCATGGTGCTTCTGACACGTTCTTAGGAATTCCCTTATTGGATTTTATCTTCATTTCTTCTATAGGGCTAACTATCTTTCTTTCTAGGTTGTGAAATATTGTCCGCCTACTTTTTTCTGATGTAATTAATTAATGAAGGAATAACAATTAATCTTGATATCAAGATTTCAAAGCGAAAATTCACTAAATTTATAGCACAAAGAATAAACGATTTCTTCTAATAAGAATGAAACTACTTGATGCATATTGGGGTTAACTATAAAGTTTATGATGGATCATGCTTAGCTCAATCATACATACTATTTTCCGGCCCCAGGAACAAAATATATTATTTTATTATTATGCACAGAAAATAATTTCACAAAATGTAATAGAGTTGTTAATAGAGTTGTTTATGAAAAAAATATTTAATTTAATCTTCTAAAATAATTTTTGCATTGATGTGGTTATCCCAACGAAAATGTCTTGTCGTTTGTTCTTTCAAATGAGAGCAGCATCTCTTGTACATATTTCCTGCTGATGTCAAAAGCATTGTTTTAGACCTTGAGCCAGAGTGAGAGGAGAGAGATAAATGCGTGTGGGAATGCAAGGGAGAAGAAACCGGGAAAAAGGTCCGCATTGTTATAAGACGTTTTCTTGAGTAGACAAGTGGCGTGTCCTACTCGCTTTGTGCGTCTGCAATTTCGGCAAAAGCTAAAATTTTCTTTTCAACTTTTCACCGTCTCAAATCTCAAGTTCACGTCCCTGAAGAAAAAAGTTTAGTGCTTGTTTTGCGAAAGGATTCTGGACACGCTGAACAGAGCGTGAAAAAGTTTAAAAAAGCAGTCGAGTATTGCCACTGAAGCCTTGGAAAGATAGACCTTCTTCTCGCTCGTCGCAAAAACACCGCGCCACCTTGCCACCACTTTTAGTGCCCCTGACCCCCAGGGACATCTTACTTTGCACAAGATTTACGGCCGGAGGCTGAGATTATATCAAGAGAGCCCAATTACAGTTTATAGTTCATGATTTGGCAAAAGTGGTCCCAGCCACCTTCTTTTAATGTATGCAAATTTCAATATCATAATTCCATGACGGATATTTTCAAACACTTAAAATTAACAAAAATGATTAAATTTGATAATTACGTATTTAATAAAGATAAAAATATGAGATATACAGTAAAACACGGACGGGTTAAAATATATACTAGAAATATTTCTCTACGTCAGCTGAATGAAGAAGTATATTTGTTTTTAAAAAGTGGTGTCTTTGCTCAAAATTTAGCATCAACATTCCTTGTAGGCAAAATTAAAAAGGAACATTTTTAAATGTATAAAAGACAAATTACATCGAAATATATTTTAATTAAAATTCTGACCTAAAGAAATGATGGCACTATAATTTCAAAGAAAATGAAATAGAAATTTATATTCCAAAAAATCAATCGGTTGAATTTTTTTACAAAACTTGCACTAAGGATTGCAACCTTTACCACTTGGATTATATCATATTGTTTGATCTCAAACTCCAATAAGTGGATAAATAAAAACCTTTCAATTTATTTATCTTCTCAAACACGATTGTAAACTACGCAGTGGAAAGTGCAAATTGCTGTTTCTTGCCTAATCCCTGCCCGTGGCCCCAAATTCAAATCAATGTGTTTGTGTGCCAACAGGTAGCGAGCGGCTGTTCAAAGCGGAAATCGAGTCAAACGGCACCACCCGCTTCACAGCAGCGCCCGACCTCAACCGTCGGCGCCTCATGCAGCGGGCCAAGATGAAATCCCTGCGCATCTCGGTGGTCATCCTAGCTGCGTTCGTCATTTGGTGGGCTCCTTACTACGTCTCCATGATCTACTTTATGTTCACTGCCAGTGAAGAGCTTGCTGATGATGTGAGTGTGTATTTGCGCGGTAATTTGCGCGCCCTGTTTCCGCCCCGCAACGCTAAGCCTCCCTTTTTACCCCTAATTCCTCCTAGCTTTTTCATTCAACCCTCTTGAAATGTACTTTGGGTCTTTTCAAAATATTGAGAGTTCCTTTTTGCGAACCTTTTTAATGGAGTTCCCTGTGGCCTGTTTATTTCTCATCTCGTATGCCCCTCGCGGTTGAAACTTTCTCCCCCGACTAATTCTAATTCTGAACTGAACGCAAAAAGTGCCTCCTATCTTGTAAAAGTTTTCACTGCGTTGGTTTTATTTAAATTTTCTCCCAGTTTCTATATCCAAAAAAGACAACAAGGATGAAAAAAATCATTAAAATATGTCGATTTTTTAAATGTACTCAAATTCTTGCAAAATTATTCAGTTAAGTTTCAAATCATGTTTATTAATGTATCACCGGGCATTCTCTGCCCAAATAGACCTTCCATTAATTCAATATTATAAATTACATTGGTTACAAGAGAGAGAAATTACATCAAAAAATACAAAGATAGAACATACAAAATAAACAGTCCTGAAATTCAGTTTATTTTATATCAAAATCCGATACACCCTTTGAAGTACCAAAGGATTAAAAATAACGAACTATATATTTATTTTTTCTTTTAATATTAAAACTGCAAAAGAGCAAAGGTAAAATTATATGTGAATGTAGCTACAAAATCGGATTCATTTTTTAACGTGTGTCAAGTACTTTTTAAAATTTTTAAATCATTACAAAACGTAACAGAAAATGGATGAACAACAATAATCAACAAAGCCATAAAAATCCTCTTTTCTTTGTATGATGTACTTGTTCACGATTTCCTTTATTCTTTGTGCTCATAATTATTTTCACTTGGAAATTTCTCAACCAGATTTTTTAATTAAAAAAAATATGAAAGAATGAATATCATTTTAATAAAATAATGTTTTACACATAAAGAACGACGCTATTCCTCCCTCCTGTTTTAGTTTTCCTTGCGCATTCGTCAAATTTGTCTTCACTTATGTATGGAAGGAAAAATTAGTGCCAAACTTTGCCTTTGCCTCCACTCTGCTGCTCCCAGCACGCGATATTTAAGTGCACCCTCTTGAGTAATTGATGGGTTATCCCTGCACGGACTTAAGCTTGCCTTCTTTGCTCCACAGCCGGAGGAGCAAGTGCTGCGGTCGGCAATCTTCTTTTTCGGCATGTCAAACAGCTTGGTGAACCCTTTGATATACGGCGCCTTCCACTTGTGGCGCCCAAGACCAAGGGCAAACAGCTACAGATCAGCTGGATTCAAGTGAGTTTGTTTGTTTGTGTGTAGACAGACGCAAGGCCCTTTGATTTACTATTCTCCCCCCAAAAAAGTGGCTCCGACACATATCTCGCGCTGTATTCAAATAAACACAGTCCGTTGGCGTAGGAGTCTTGAAAGATTCCATTGCCATCGTTCAGCTTTGTAAAGAAAACACACACTCAAATTGAGAGCCCTTGCCGTAAGGTAAATATTTACAGGGGGGAGTTTAGAGAGCAATTGTAGAGTTGAAATATATTTTAAGTTGGGGATTTTATCTGATGTGAGTTCCAAGTTTGCTTCTGATTTAAATCGTGAAAGTAAAATGTGACATTTATTTTTTACTTGCTAGCTGAAATATTTGGAATAAAATTAAATGTTTCTTTTTTATTATTTCCATCTCGTGGAAAATAACCACGGACTAAGTTAAAGTCTCCTGAATGTAATTATGTACGTTATGATGACACTAAAAAGACTAAAAAGCAGGCTCGTTTGATTTAGTGTTAGTCTAGACACCACCAAATTCCAATCGCAAGGTCTGCAACAGAAGAACTGAGAACTTAGAAAATAGAAAACGTCTTAAGCAAGTAATTTATTTATTTATTTCAATATAAACTAACCAGGCGAAAGAGCTCTTCTATTTAATCACCAAAGTTAATTAAAATGTAATATTTAATTTTTTATAAGAGTTATACTATAATAATAATATCACGTTCATTTACATCAGAATATCAATTGAGAAAAAAGCTGAAGTAAATATAGTTATTTTTATAAATAAATATTTTCGTTCTTCACATTTTGTTTCGAATTAGGTATAAGGATTTAAAAAAAGTATATACATGATTATTTTATTCTTGTCAGTCAATACAAAAATTTGAAATTTGAAAAAAAAAGACAAGAAAGGATAGTGTGTGAATAATTTTTAAAACCCTGATTATTAGAATTCCAAACAATTTAACTTTGCCACACACTGAATGCATTGCGTGGAACAAATTCAAGGCAAGACCCTCATTCATCAGTGCGCTTCTTTGTCAGGAAATGTATTCCCGTGCGTGCGAGAGTGAAACCGCAGCATTTTGTTTTGTTTGTTTTCAGCCGGGACGGGTCGACGCGGCGGAGCACGGCCACTCACGTGAGTCTGCGGCGATGCAACTCGCGCAGCACCAGGGTAACCATCGGCCGCGGCGGCATGACGAGTTCGCCGACCAGCCCGGCGCCGATCCGAGAGCTGAACGGCGGCGCCAGCTCAGGGCCCGAGCCGACCACCGAGACGGCGCTCGTGTCCCTCGACTGCGGCGCCAGCATCGAGGCGCGTCTCCTCGAGCCCGACGACGAAATCCTCGGCGCCGCCAAACTACTCGGCAGCGACGCCAACGACGTCATTCTCAGGTACTCGACGGACAAATCGAGCCGGGTCGTGCAGACCAGAATTTAGAATTTAAAAAAAAAAATCGGTCTTTGAGGTGGTCGGGCCGGTGCGGATGCTGCGGCTTGTGGTCCAGCGGCCAATTTATCGAAATAGACAAAGTAATGTTTGCCTTCCGCTCTAATGATCACCAGTTCTGATCGTTGCTTTGAAGTTGATCGTTAATTAATCTTTGTTTGATACTGTGCTCATTTTTATTGTTTATTTACTCTCGCAAAAGCTTCTGCTAATTATTCCATGTTTACTAAATTTTAAATTTATTTCAAAAAAGCAATTTTTTGTATTTTGAAAACTCTTTCCTTCTAATTTTGTTTCAATGTACTTTATTATTCAAATTATGCATTAAAATGAAAAATTTAAATTAGACTACAGAGAACTATTTATATTTATTTGAAATTTTTAAAGGGACAAAGGATAATTAGATAAATTTATATTTCATTTACAACATATATCATTAAATACTCTCGAAAAAATTTAAAATGTCATTTTTTATCTTTTAAAAATTTCTCAGATTTCTTCTGATTTTAAAATTTATTTGACTCCAACCTGAAAAGATGTTAATTTAATACTTCCTCAAAAATAGTACTGAAACTTATAATAAAAAAAAAATACGAACGAAATTATTCCTTGGGCCACAGCTAGCCATCGCATCTGCACGATTTGGAGACAAACCACTGCTGAAAATTTCGCTCAGTATCTCATTTCAAATTCCACAGAAAGTGCGCGCACCAATATCCAAGTGATGGACAGCGCAACTTACGAGCTTACAAGTGTTAGTCAGGAGAAGGGTATATCGGCCTGGTGCTACTTCTATGTGTAATGCGTACTTCAAAATTATTAAAAATCTCTGTTTTAAATCACAGGTGGTAGCTCGGAGTGTCTGTAGTTTTATCGTTAATTTCTTTGTACAAACAGAAAAAAAAGGAATATCTGTAAAAATGTTTTATTTATTTTAATAGCATTGGGAACATAAAACTGCATCAATTCCATTTTACCTCAATGCTCCAGTTTCAAAAACGTCATTTGATGTACAATCTCAAAACTTGGTGTTATAGCTGTGAGATGAATGCATATTATATAATTACGCAGAACAAGATTAAATATTTATATTTCAATCACACAAATATATTTTTTCCTTTGACTCAGGAAAATTATAGTAGATGTAGAAATATGACCTGTGGGTAATTATTAAAATTACTTCCGAAAAACGCTCAATAATTATAGTTTCAAGTTCCTCACACACAGTATCATTTTAAATCAAAATATTAAATTTTATTGTGTTTATGATGCCGATTCATGTCATTTTGTTCCACTTTGATGACGCGATCTCAAACACCACACACGTGTTGCATAATGTTCTTGGCGAGACACAAACATTTTACTAGAATTACGGATACTTATAATAAATCTGCGTAAATTTTGATGTGGGTGAATTTCAATCAAAGTTTTGTGATATTATTATACATACATTATTTTGGTCAAATATCTCGGTTATATATTTAGGGTTTAATATCTAAATAAAATTATAAATATTAATAAATTTTGTTTTATCAAGAATAAAACAAACACTTCTTGTATTGTTTGCCAGTAACGATAAATAATTTGATTTAAAATATTCTCTTTACCAAAAATCAAATTGTTTCCTTGTAAAGGGAGGATGGTTCACCCTCGTTAATATTTTTGTCATCAAATAGCTGTGTAAGGAAAAAACAATTCAATTGTTGTTTTTATGGCTGCTATTTGGCAGTGATTGATGTGTTCCTGAAATGTACAATTTCGTTACATAATAAATGTGTACCTTAATTTCAGTGTGTTTAGAGGCTAATGGGTCGTCCTATAGGGCTCATTGTTAAAAGAAATGGTTGATTTTGCCAATGAAATTTATTATTTTAGAATAATGGCCCTTTGCTGTGAATCATGATGAAATTAAAAACTCTTAAAATACCATGTATTATAAAATATACTCGATATATCCTCTGAAATGTATAGATTTGTTCCAAATTGCTAAATATTAATAATTTTGAAAAATAAAACATGTATGCCATCTGAAGAAGTAATAAATTGTGTTTTATTTTCCACTCGCTTCAGTTTCAATGGCTGCTGAAGAGGACGTGCTAGTTGAAGAAAATTTATGTTGTAGAAAATTACGTGAGAAAAGCACGCGCAGAATGTCGACAACTGCCAAGGTGTTTCTCATTTGTTTTTCACTTTCGCTAACCAGAGTGAGATTGACGTTGGCAATATAGAATGTTCGAGTTAAAGCCAAAGGTCTTTGCAGCGAATGCAAACTCCTTCGACGCCCCTTCCGTAAAGAGCACTGATAAAAAATGCAGTCCGGCCCAGAAGTTAACGGAGCTGTTTGCATATTGCAAAAGACTGCTGATGAAGAGCACTCAGCCGGTGCAGATTTTTTTTAGCTTTGTGCTGCACTTTCGAGAATCTAAAGGGAGAAAATTAAAAACGTCGAGCTTGAGATGTCTACGATGAACTTTGCACCAAGTCCTTCAGCTTTCCCCACTTCATAAATGGATAAATTATTGAGAAAACGGGGAGTTTGAAAAAAAAACTCCAAGGTTTACTCTTCCGAGAACGTGTCGATTCCCAAATGAGCTGTGGAGAGAGAGTTAGTTATAGTTGTGAAAGTTTACAGCATAAACTCAACTTGATTAATTGGATTTTGCAAATTTCTATTGGATAAAGTTTTTGCAAAGCTCTTCCCGCAATCAACTTGGATTGAAAAGTAAGTTCAGATTTATTGAAATGATTTTCAAGGAAGTTCAGTTACGCAATTATTTCTTTCTCATAGGAAATATTAAAATAAAAAGGAAGACTAAAGAGGAATGGTAAAAATACTACAACCATTCTGAAAATATTTTTTAATTCTGAATGTGATCAAAAATTTATTTTAGCCCAAGTGGCGATCAAAAATTTCATCCAGATAAGCTTAAACGAGAGATTTTTCCAACCAGTAAAATTTGAGCTTCTAGTAAATTTCATCCTAATTTTGCTTAATTTTTTTAAAACTTCTGGACATTTTTCTTTAAATCCGAGTTTGGGGGGAAGGCAAATCACTCATCACTGGGTTTAATCCATGAACCTAATAATTTAAATTTTCAAGAAATGATTAATAATGTGCTTTTTTCTAACCATGAAACGTTTTCCATTCAGAAATAAAAATATTTACATTTCTTTTTAAAGAATTAAATGAATTAATCAATGTCAAAATATTTACAATTTGTTAAGTAATGACGTGTTGACCAAAGGCTGCGCATCCCAAAATTATGTTGGTACACGGCTGCCGTCAGAGCCATGGGGCCTTATGGCTCTGGCGGAAGACATCTTTTTTTTTGGCCAACATAATAGAGCTGATGCGTGGCCTTTGGTGTTGACCGTAAAGTTGTCAACAGCGAACACATTAAAGTACCGTTTAGAAGCTCAAGGGAACCGGTCAACTATGGTTTGTGTGACTCACGTGCATTTTAACTTCTTTAAAGAAGTTTATTTTTTTCCCTCCTTTCACATAGCTGCTTGAGTGAATTTCACGGCGAAACGACTGCACAAGCTCGAGTTGTAAATTTGCCTCGCAAAACGAGTTACAGTTAATTATTTGAAAAATTCGCATGTATTTTTAGCGCGCGCCGCTGCGAACGTCAACTTTTAGTACTCCATAAACGCCTTGTGCCGTCAGAGGAGCATCGCGCCTGCTGGCGGCAACACACGCAACCCGCTCGACAACGCAGACCAACGTGTTGCATAACTCTGAAAAGTTCACTGCGGTCGCTACAATTCAAATAACAAAGTAGGTTAATTGTTAATTGGTTCTTAATGACTGATTGCCATTCTTTATTCAGAGACTGAAAACACGCGACCATGTGCGCGATTGATTGTTTTTATTTACCACCAATTGCATACTTTGGTGGCTTCTCTGTTGGGAATAATGCAATTAGTATATTGTATATTAAAGTGCAGTAGAAACTTTTGTTGCCTTAAACGTTTTATGGATGGGAATTTGTGTCTCCATCGCTCCTGAAAATTCTGAATGTTATGTGATATATTATAATGTTTGACTGAAAAAATAATTTTTCTTATGAATTCTCGTGATTTTTTTTAATTCACTCCAAAGTACGCTCTGACAATTGGTCTTTGCAAATTATGCCACAAGATTCATAATTATTTGAAAATAAATTTAATAAATACAATTTTACTGCCTGAAAATGAGGTTCCATAAAACTATTTTAACAACCTACTTTGCATCCTTGACGAAGCAGGCCAATTGTTAATTTTTTAGGACTTACAATTACATAGATTTGCAATAAAAATAGCATTGAAGATGTGGATTCTATTTTAAGGATTGAAACAAGTGAAATGTTCGAAAACTGAATGAATATGAAATGAAAATTAATTTTCAATGTTTCATTCAATCTCAAAGTTCATATCTGGAAAATAGCTTGAAAAAAATTGATAAAATAAAGCAAACAGTAACTGTTGCTGAGTGGGAAGGGCTGAAATGGTGTGTTCATTTCGTTTTTGTCCAGGTGATTGACTTACAAATCCCCCTCTAAAACCGCGTCCTGTTGCTTCGTGCCGGAAACGAAAACCGGCGGCAATAATAAAATGGCCAATTCTTCTTTGAATGCGCTTATGCATGCACATTTTGAATTAAGAGCGATCGCGTGTTTGACAGACAGAGCAGTCGGGCGACGTGTCGGTCGCGGTGGGTATATTTTGTATGTATCTGTAATTTGGCGCCACGCGAGCCGCCCTCGGGGGTGACGTCAGCGGAGCACGGGGCGCCGAGAGGGCAGCAGCTCCTCCGCAATGAGGCGGCGAGTTGAGCGAGCAGAGCAGCGAACGAGCAGACCTTGGGGCCGATTCGCTCGGTGGGCGAGTGACGAGAAAATGAAAGTGTCCTGCGTGCAGCGAGCCGGACAGTGAGCGCGCCACTCGCTCGGGTGTCCCGTCGACCGCCGTCGGCCAGCAGTGTCCGCCCCCGGGCCGCCGCCGCCGCACCATGCTGCAGTCCCTCTGCTTGGTCCTGCTGGCGCTGTGTTGCTGCAGTGTGTCGGGTATGCACACACACATACACACACCTAACCCGCAATCAATTCGCGTGCTCAATTTTTGCTCTCTCTCCCTTTCAGACGCCGTCGAAGAGGACTGCACCGACTTCCAAGGCAACGTCGTCCAGCACGGCCTCCTCTACGTGCCAGGACCAAGTGTTTGCTCCTTGTGTGTTTGCTACCACAGCGAACCGATGTGGTGCAAAGCCATCTACTGCGACCCCCCTTATGTGAGTGCACGCGTTTCACAACAAAAAATTTAAATGAATTTAAAAATATAAAAAAAATTTAAATTTAAAACAAGAGCCATAGTTTATATATTACATAATTTTTGTTTAAATCAACCATAATGATATTAATTAAAAACTGAAAATTATCGCTAAATTAGTTTTGAGGTTTGTGAGCCTCTTCATTAAAAACCATTATTCAACTTTTCTTCTTGAGTGCAGGATCAATACATTTGAAAATTTTAAGAAATAAGAGTGTTTTTAATCTGAGCTTTCATTAAATCAGCCGAAACCTTTAAAGATTTTTCATTTCATTCAATTGCATTAAAATTTGTGTCAGTTTCCTCTCAATTCTGGACAGTCTTAATTAAATTAAATTCCAAGTTATATAAGTTTCAAAATTTTGTCAAAAATTCTAATTAATAAAATAGGACAACCTCAAAACAAATTTAAATGTTAAAGGGAGTAAAAATTATTATTAAAGAATTTAATTTCCATAACAAAGAAGGTTTCGTTTGACCTTGACCTAGACAAAAAACACATTCATGCAGATGAAAAGCGGGCTATCTGTTCTAAGCTCAAGTTTTGGTTATATTACTAACCGTTACTTCTTTATTTAAAAAAAGGGGTTTATTTAATAGGACTTATTTGCTGCGTTTTTCCTCTTTTCCACTAATTACAAAAATCAGGATTTGATTTCTGCTAAAAAGTAGAAGTTGGATACGGTTTGTGCGAATGACACCTTCTTACTTGTAATGTTTTTGAAATAGAAAAGTTCCTCTCAATGATCCGCACTTTGAACAATTTGACTCCGTAAAATTTGCAAGCTTTATAACGTTAAACTTTAATTGTTCAGTAGAAAGTGAAATTATTAATTTTGATATTTTTATGATCATTCAATAAAGCTATTTAAATCCGTTTCTCCCAATTAATTATAAATCAACTAATTATATTTAAGAAGAAATTCACTTATGTGATACTTTTTTTTTAATGAATTATTATCATTAGAGCTATTCAAAGTACAAATATAATTATCTTTTCCTGTAATTGACATGCATGCACGTCGCATGTCTGACTAAAAAACATTTGCAACCCGATGCGCGAAATGGCATCTCCCTTGTAGACACAGCGGCTGTCTGTCGCAGTAATTGGACACCCTTTGGTAAGCAGAAGGTGATGACAGACAGCAGAGCTCTATCTCAGAATAAAAGGAATCCATTTGGCAGCCGATCAAGCCGTTTGCGCCACTCCAATTTAAATTTAATTCGGCCTAACGCGCGGTCCCCCTTTGTGAAAGAAAAAAACATGCTTAATTGATTTTTTGTGGTGCAGGGTTGCAAAAAGTGGCGTGTGCTGGAGCGGTGCTGTGAGTTCCAGTGCCTTGACGAGCCGTCCCCCACGGGCGCTGACCTTCTCGAGCTCCCTACAGAGCCGACGGTAGCGCGTTCTTCTGCAACAGGTCTCCCTACCCTGAGACCTGCCGCCGTGCTTTTCATTTTGCCCTGGCTCTTCTGGATGCACTGATAGTCAGGTGAAGTCTCAAGTATTCACACACGTGTCTGAAAAAAGTTTTGCCTCTGATTTGCAAAAGAAATTTAATGTTATTTGTTTTACCATTGCTCTTAAGATCATACTTTTAATAAGGCTTCTCTGCCGCACTTTGAATTAACCTTGAGAGAGAAAAGTTGAGCAAATCGAGTACAACGTGTATTGTGCTTGCATATATTTTTATTGTGCACCCTTTTTTATTTTCAAGAATGAAGTAATTTAATTCCAAAATCAGAAAAAAATTGTACACATTGGTATACATTTTTTGGCCAATGAATATTTTGCTCAATTTGAATTTAGTGATCCTGTGATACTGCTCAGAGCACGCCAATTTGTAACTTGAACGATGACGTTTTTGAAAATCAAAACACAAAAAATATTAGTTTTTTAAAGTCATGAAATTTCTCATTAAAATTCCTCTTTTAGGAAACAACGCCAATATGTAAATTAACTTCGTTTGTGTCACAAACTGAAGATAAAAAAGTAATTTAAATAGAATAATACGGAGTATTATTTCCGTATTATTCTATTTTAATTCTTATAACAAAGTCTAATCAAATATATAAAATTTATTATTTTAATGATTTTAACTACTAGAAATTTAATTTTTGTAAGCATCAAAGAGAATTGTGTTACCCTGAAGTTTAAAATATCGCCTTGCTCTAAATTAAAAAAAGTTTTTTGTTTTGTAATTCTAATTAAACCTGCTATAGGCTGTCTGCATTCTTTTTATAAAACACGCGTAGGTGCAAAGGGCTATTTACAAAAGATGATTGGGATATTATTAAGGCGCTATTTCAGCGTCGACCTTCAAGAAAATGTAAACAAAATGTGCGCAAAAATTTATTTATGTCTAGTCCATTTTTCAGAGCTTGTCCTTTTTTTTATAATCGTCTCATCGCTGCAGACACTAATTATTAGACCATGAAGTATCCTGCTCATTTAAAAGCGCAGAAGATACGCATTAAATTTTTCCTGCTGGCAGGCGGATCAGAAATAGCTCGTCTCCTAAAATCTACTGGCTATTTAACGCAGAAGGACACGATAAATAAATCCGACGCTTCTCTTTGAGGAGAGATACAAATACAGCAAAAGAGAAAGGCATGAGCAATAAAATGGATTGATAATTATTTTAATTATAACATAATAATTGCAGATGTTCTAAATTCAAAAAAAGTTATATCAGTTTCTTGTTACAATATACAAACAAATTATAAAATACTACTTTACTTTTGAAACTTTTATTTGGTATTGAGAATTTGTCCTATCTATATTTAATATATATTTTTTTTTTAATATTGCCATTTGTAGAATAAGAAAAACTATAAAAGAAACGTGATTTTGTACTTCAACAATTAATTCAAGATAATCCTATAATTCTTAACTCAGATTTCTTGTGTCTTAAATTTCACACTGGCCACTGAACTTGTTTAGCTCTTCTTGATTTTGTCGATTTGTTTCAGGTGTCGAGAAACCCAAGGAGAGCAAATGGAAGATCAAATCCTGCCTTGCAAGCTGTTGCATCTCACAATTGCATGAATCCATCTCGCTGCTTTTCAAGTACAGGGGCGTCTATCTCTATCAACCACTCTTCTCTCGCAGAAGAAGAAGAAAATCAAACCGCTGCTCGGTGTGTAGTCTCTTGTCAAGATTTGTGGTCTCGACAGTTCTGGACATGCAAGCTGGATTTAGTCTCTGAATAATTGACCCCCAGCTTGCTTGATCACACTCCGGCAGCAAGTCTGGTAGTACGTATTGATTCTATATTCCCCTCCCATCTTAGCCTACCTAACCTAACGACTAAAGAAAAAAGCACATGTATAATTAAGTGATTTTAATGATTTAACACACAAACACTCTCAGTATACTTACACACACTCACACTGAAAGAAGAAAAACAGCTCTGCTTCCAAAGACATACAAACAACTACTGCTCTCTCTCCTCTCTATCGGAATAATTCTATACTCGAGGTTATTATTATCACGCGCGATGATATGAAAATTTATACAAGTAAATTGTTTATTAATATCTAGTGGCTTATGGAAAACTTGAAAATCAATCAAACAAGTGAGATTTAAGAACAGCTTCTTTGGTAGATGCGAAACGAACGACTGAACATAAAGTAAATTTTATTATTGATTCATTGGTTGCGACGTTTGGATGTGTGTAAATGGAAATAGGAAAAAAAACGTGATTTCAAATTAATATACAAATCGTCACACATATTCTCATCAAATATACGGAATTCTCTGCTTAAAAGTGGGTTTCAACTTGTACATAAATATGCTCTCAAGGGAACTGTAAAAGCGCAATTTTTTTAAATTTTTCGTTTCATATCAAAAGTACTCACGTTTTTGCTATACAAGGCCAAGGTTTAATTTTGTAAACTTTGGATCTTCACCTGCTTCCTATTTCGCCAGAAAACTTGTACGAAACGAGCGACGGGTAATGACGAAAATTGCCACTTAATCACACACAGTCCAGTAATTGCTCAGCAATATATGTTAAAAGTTGATATTGTTGTGCAGCGAGAGCGTTAGTTTTATAAAATAAAAACACTCTTTATAAAATATATCAGAATTTCCGTCGTTTTGGAAATAATGAGATCTAAATTTCTGCTTTTTGTGACGGTGTAGATCAAGTTACATTCAGAATTGATAATAAATTTACACATTATTGTCTCGTTTTTTGGTAAAAATTATTTTAACATGATAGACTTATATTGTTAACAGAGCTTAATTTTAAATATAAAATGTGGGATGAAATATGGACCACGTTGATTGATTTGTATGTCTGTGGCAGGAAGAAATGACAGGAAATATAAAATTGATTCCAGTCTTCATTAATTTATAAGGAGCTTGTGGCGCACGATTATATTATTAAAAAAATCAATTCTCCCGTTTTGCCACAAACCAAAAGATAAATTTGCTAATTGCGTTGAGAAATTTGTCTTTCAAACAATGACAATTAGAGAGTAAAATAGTTGCCTTTGCAGCTGCTGTAAAATTTTCAAAAAGTTAATTTACCGCGGCTGTTGAAATTGCAGATTTATTTGCCTGTTTGCTGTAATCATCGTAGGTGTATCTCTAAAATAATGCTACTGAAAAATGCCAGCTTTAATGCAAAATCATTCTTTCGAGATTACGAATAAAAACGAATTGGGGTCCAGCTGAAGCGAAACAATAAATAAATCAGTCTAGTGTTTTACAAGCGAAATGAACACAACTTCCAATGTGAAAAATCAACTGTGCGTGGTGACGACGGCTACCATGAGAAAGAGTGATGGTGATTTACTATTCCTACGACTTTTATAAGCGTACTATAAGAGAGAAAACAAGCGAGCTGGTACTCCTATCGAAAAAAAAAGTGTATTTAATAGGCTGCTCATTCAAAAGGAGCACTTTGGCGATTCAAAATCTTGCAATCACACGTTTTCTCTGTCACTGCTGCTAATACCAAGCTCATCGATTTACATAAAAAATTAAATGCTAATACATAACCTCTCTTCTATCTCTCTTTACGCAAACTAAGATTTTTACCCCTGTTTGAAAGCTACTGCTTCACAGCAAAGTTATATATTTAAAAATATTGTATTATCACTTTATATCACACTGTTAAATTGGTCACATGGAAAAATGCTTTCGGTACGGTTGAAAACAAAACAAGTATTTTACACACAACCATATGTAAAGTACATCATAATGCTGTGATTTCGTATCATTATGTGATATATTTTCTAGTCTCCGAGGTTGATGTCTATTCAAAGTGGAAAATTTAAAGACAGAATTTTTATTGATTTGAGGAGCATGTTGGGAAATTTTTATGATTTCGAACAATGGTTTCGAGGAAACCACCTCTGAAAAATGGTAATGTCGTATCCTCTATCCTGAACACGCTGAAAATTTACTTCACCAGATTCCACCCTAGAACGCCAGGATTATTATGTGTATTATTCCATTAAAAATTAGTTTGTTTCTCGGTTTTGATTAACCATGACAAAGAGTCATCGCCATCTATCAATTTAACACTACTTATAATTATATTGTATAATCTTAAAAACATTTCAAGCAACTGTACCTTCATTATACTATAAAGCTGCTTTGTGCAATTTTTACACAGATATGAAAGGAAAATTAAATTGAGTGTAAATCTGAATGGCGTCTTATGAGGAATAATAAAAATGTTGCCTTAAACTTGAGTTTTTATTCGGCTTCCTTTAAGATAATTTCAGTGACAATTAGCTTGTTGGAAATTCTGCTAGTAGCACTACGGGAACATATATGTAAATCATTCGGCTGCTGCACTTTTAAGTTCATATCTATAAGGGCACTTCAGTCGCTCGATTTTTCAATGGCTGAGAACAAACCTTCCCTTTAGGATCCTGTTCATTAAGATTTTCCTGCCATTGAGGGTGGACATTCGCTTCTTCCAGCCGTGCCTGCGGATTCTTTTGGCCTCGTTGGGCCTCGGGAAGTGGCATCTGATGTTTCCTAATGCGTTTGTGGTCGAGAACTGCATTTTGGAAGCGATGCTGAGCAAAGGTGTCCTCACAAAAGACGGCAGGGCCGGCGTACTCATTTGCCGTAACAGGAGGCCAGATTGACTAAAATTTAAAAATTTTTTGGTAAAGTGGTTATTAAAATTGGTGCGACTCACTTGAAAAATCCTCTAAGTAGAGAGTTCATTGCAGATTTGCCACAGAAAAGGCGATACTCGCGGAACTTCTATGTTTTGCTCTCTCTGTTGAACACATTCTAATGGGGGCGTAACTGCAGCTGTTCGCTGTAAGTCGAAATCTGATTGGCTCTCGTAAATTTGTATGTCCAATCAAATCAGCGCATGTAAAACCATTATTATTCTCAAGGAGATTATTCTCTTCCACACCATCTCATGCCAACCAATTTTGGCAAAATCTTGGTAAATAATTAGTGTTCTGTCTTTAAAATGTTTTTTCAATTTGTAAATTTGACGCAGCGTGTTATGCACATGTCATGAGATTTAGGAAAAGGCTGGGTCTGAGTGGATTAGAACTTGGATTTGGAGTTTTCTTGGGCGTTCTTGGCGGCTTTTACATTTGGAAGCCGATTTTTGAAGAAAAATTTGGACCGCGGAAATCTCAGCGAACTCCGGCATTGTATGATTTTGCAGCTTTCTCACCATAATATTTTTCTAAAGAAAATCATTTTCAATTTACAGAGAAACACAACACGAAAATGTCAACACAACCAGCACCAGTTAGCTTCTTGCAAAAATATAAAATCCCCTTCGGTGTACTTGGGGTGATGGCCTGTTATGTAGTGTATTTTAAACTTTACAGACCGATGTCTATGAAGGCTAAACGGGAGGAAAATGAAAAAATAGCTGAAATAATTTTTCAGAATAGTCTTGTTGAGAGCAATCAAGCTCGTAGTGAGAGTGGAGGATATAATTCGTAATTTTTATTTGTACATAACTTGTATGAAGAAAAAAAATTAAAAAAAGGTCATAATTGAAAAACGCTATTACTTTATGGTTGTTTTTTATTTATCATTAATAGTTTCAACAATATACAATCTCTACTAGAGGATGGTGGTGACTGCATTCATTCAGGGCAACTACCCCTTCAACTGAAACATACACAAAAATAATAATTATGCTTTAATTATGTATTCTGAAATTTATCTTGCAGAAGATAATAATTTTATAACAAAAAAATACCTTACTTTATAGTTTAAAATTCTGGTTTTCCATCAAACTTGGTGTTATAGAAGGGCAGGTAGTCCAAGAAAAGTCTCCAGTCGGTAAAGTAGAGAAGCGTTCCAAAACCAGTGGCACCAAAGATAGCCCCGCTACGTGCCCTAAAAGGTTAAAATAATTTGATTAAAAAGTAAAATAAAAAAAAATGACAAATTTGAAATTTGTATGCAAACTGGCTGCTAATTTAAGTTTTTATGTATGGAGCGACTACATAGAAAATTTGAGAGAAAAAAACATATGGAAAATTCGTTATGTAGTTTGTTTTTTTAAATAGGATAATGTGCTAATACTATTTTTTATATAATTTATAAAAAAATAAAATCAATTCATCCAAAATCTTGCTTAAACTGCGCTTTGCAATTAATGAGAATGGTCAAGATCAGTCAAGATTTATACATATGCATAGGAAAATTGGAGCAAAAGGGTATTGATTGAAAAGCATCGACAAAGCACAGTAGATCATTTACCACGACTGAGCGATTTGGATGTGCCTCATTCCAAAAGGTCCAGGGATCTTAATAGCAGCTTTCCGTATCGCTCCGGACATTTTTTTAAGCTAAATTCGAGATTTTTCTGCAGCTCGATCGATTTGAAATATGTTTTTGCAGCTGGCTCTTGTTAAAGGGGGAGTGGCAAGGTGAACGAGTGAAATCGATTTATGGCGGCAGATTTAAAAGGGGTCCAATAGACCATTATGGAATTTGGACAATGTTCATTACATTTTTTATTTTTCATTTACAAAAAGTTAACTATTTATGATAGGTGAATGTGAAAAATAACAGGCTTTTGATTGATTTTTACAGCAATTTAAATAAATTTTATTGCAATAAATTATATTTAATACTTATTTCAAGTGGAATAACACTGCCAAAATAATTTATATAAATTCTTTTTGTAAAAAAATTGGTTTCCTTCATACCAAGCAGCCATCCATAAAAAAATTGTAACACTTAACTTTGAACTTTACATGTAGAAACGAACCTTAAGTGTAAATATCAGAAAAAGCAGTGCTTGCACTTTGCACTCCAAACACGAGCAGATCAATGCAGTCACTTCACAGGCATCATCTTAATCTTTACTTCTTAAACCTTAAAATTTGAATAGCACAACATCACACACCGAGTCAAAAACGCGTGGATTTACATTCAACAAGCACATTACACAGAATGTGTCATAATAGAGAGATGGCAACCATAAACACGTATTTTCTAGTCATTTAAAACTTTTGAGTAATAGAAATGATCAAGTTGGTATAGCTAATTTAAAAGCAAATTGTCAACAAAACTCAAATGTCTTTTTTTAAGATTTTGCAGGAGCAGGAATGGCACCAATTCCACCGTTGTTGTTTTCTTGTTGAATGGCTTGAGCCATTTGATCCACGCTGTCTTCGACTGGGTTCTCGTCTGGAAGGTTGTTGTTGTCAGCTTCCTCGTTGGCGTTCTTGTTGTCAAATCGTTCGTCGTCCGCAGTGTCCACAGCCTCATTGTTATTTATGGGGTCTGCAAAAGTACAAAGAAAAATTGGGAATAAAACAAATATTTTGGAATTCAGTTTACTTTGAAGTTATTATTTCAATAACTTTTTCACCAGGATGAATTCGAACTGAAATAATTTGTTTTAAAATTGGGTTTACTTGTAAAATAGCTACCTGGAGGAGGCTGAAAAAATGGCTTCCTCTGATTAAAAACTTTATTTAAAATTAATGTTTGACAAATGAAGAAATTAAAAATTTTACCTTCTCTTTCTTTGGCATTGTCTTCGTCTTTCTCATCAGCATTTAGATCTGCAGCTTTAGTTTTTGTGTTTGTGCCACTTGGAGGAGCTTTAGCTGTGATAAAAAGATAGAAATAGAGAATTATTTTGAGATAACAATTTTTATAATATTTAAAGTTTCATTCTATAATACAGCCAAGCTGACATTGCTTCTGATTCTTAATGCAATTTGCCCAGATACCTTTAGAATAATAAGGAATTAATTTAAGGAGCTTAGAGTAGTTTTTGTACAACCCTTGAAATTGATTGTTTATGTAAAAGTACCTGAAATTATGTAAAATTTCTGTGTTGAAATGACAAGTGTTTTTCATGTGTCATACCTTGTGTGGAATGGAGTTGGGTTACACTAAACCGGGGTGGTGGACGGTAGGCATTGGGAGGGTCGCTGGGCATGATCGGGGCCATTTGAGGTTTCATGCCCGTCAAACCGCGATCGACAATCTCGACGTTTGAAACGCGATTATCGTAACCCCGAATTTGCGAACGGTAAAACGCTACAGCATCAAAGGATCAGAAGCGGGAAATCAAAGCATTTTCAACTACCTGCTAAATTAGGGCCCCCTGCATTAGCAGCAACTCCGGCTGGCTGACTGGCCTTCAAATTGTTAAGATCAGCAGTGACCTAAAAGCATTGCGTCGAATTTCAAAATCACTAAAAGCTCAAAAACAACCTAGTAAGCAAAAATGTAAGTACAGTTTATAGAAGGAACCACTAAGTACCCAACACTACACTAGACTATATTAGAAATCAAGACCTTATCTAACTCAGTCTTGAGCTTTTCCACATCCTTCCTCCGTTCTTCTTTCTGCTTCAGCATTTCATCTTTCTCAATCTTCAAGCTTTTGATCACTTCCTCTTGAGATTGGCTCACTTTCTTTAAAGACTCCTTTAAAAGAAATAGTTAAAAATTAGTATTATTATTTAAAATAAATAATTATTTCTAACCAGCTCCGTTTTGCAAAGCTTTGCAGCACTCTTCGCACCTTCGGCGTCGTTTTGCAACGTCTTGATTTCGACATCTTTCTCCTGAAGACTTTTCCTTGTGTCGTCAGCATTCACATCCTGCTGCTCTAACCGCACCCTGAGCTGTGCCAACTCCTCCTCCGTACTTTTTAGCCGTCCTTCAACGGACAGACGTAGCTGGATACTCTGATCCCTCTCTTCGTTGCTGAAAATTTGACATTTTTGAATCAATTATTGAATTTATTTGTCAATTGTCATTCGTCACCATCGTCTGAGCTGTTCGGCGAGTTCATCGAGTTGCTTCAAGAGTTCAATGCTCTGCGTTGAGGAGGACCACCAGTTGCAGGTGAGCACGAAGGTGACAACTAGGAGGCCGCCGACCAGCAGTGGAGGACACCGACCGTGTGTTCCTCTCATACTTTCGAAGCCCATTGCTAGTCAAAATCACACCGACTCGGCTAACCTGTCGTGGAATTCATGATTTGTGTAAACAAAATTCAGCTGCGTGTTGATATTTCTACTCACTCACAGTGGCAGCTCGGCGAACACGTAAGCAGCCGAAAACGTGCTGATGCTGATAATACAATCATTACACACAGAATGCGGCCATGTTTGTGTGTTGTGTTGCTCTGAGATCGTTCGCTTCCGTTGCCCCAACGAACGAAGAACGAACGAATAAAAAAGAACAGCAGTTGACGAGGCAAAAGCAATTCCCGAGAGGAACACAGACGTGTTTATTTTGTATGCCTTTTCACCAGTGTTTGGTGTTTGGTCACGAGCGCCAGCGGACGAATGTGGAAACCTGGAGAGGGGGCTTGGGGTGTATGGAAAGGACCTGAGACTTGACCTGAGAGATTTTGACATCATTTTGCTATGAATTTCTCTGAAGAAATTAGGGTATAATAAGTATAAAAGCAAGTTCAGGCCTTGAATGGCTTAAACTGTACAATTTTACAAAATTTAATTACAGCATTTTTTTTTTAAATTTAAAGGTGGCTTCAATCTTCTGATGTAGGCAACCTGCGGGTCCGGTCTGTCAAGAAATTGCCTATTTAGTCTATTTCAAGCAGTTCCTTTTTACTAGACCTGCGGCATAAATATAGGTGTGTTCCTCTATTTACTGTCTTTGGCCGTCTGAAATAATAATGTGGCCAATAGTTCAAATACGCAAGTAGGACTAAATAAATAGGAAATGGATTATTCAGGAAAAAAAATACAATTCCAAAGCTATGTTCAAGCTATATATGTTGTTGCTGGTTTGTATTCGCAGTTTATAACCTCATCAGTCATCAGAAATTATCTTATTTACACGTTTTTGATAATAATAAATCTTATAATAGATTTTGGGTCATCTGAATGTTTTATATTGAGTGTGTACAAATACAAATAGTTGCTGGCTATTTCAAATTACCATTTAAATTTATTTATATATCTATAAAATTATGGCAGTTAACTGTGCAGTTTTTATAATTCTCTCTTAAAATTAAAATAAGTTGTATTCTTTTCTATAATTATGTATTTTTTTTTTTTTTAATATTATTCATGCACGATTTTATTAATCAAGATTTTCTAATCGTGTTTGTTCCTCTTATCAATTGTCATTTCCCTCGTGATGACTGTTCCATCTCTGGACAAAATGGGAATTCCGTGCACTGAGTGCATGTGCTTCTTCAGATTGCTCTTGCGGCTGCTGATGTGCGAACACAAGTGGCACTTGGTCAGTCCACGGTGGAAGTCAAAGTGCAGGATGCAGCTGATGCGTGTCTGGAACAATTTTCCGCACACGACGCACCTGAAATTGCAACCAACCTGTTCTGGCACCAGAGGCACTTTTCCCACCGACTCGTTGGCTTTTCTTGCAGAATAAAAGTCAGGGTCGGCTTCAACTCCAATAGACGCGAGGTAACTTGGATCTGCAAAAAGTGATATTATTTGACATTTAAGTTTATTTATATTTTTTTTAATGCAATATACAAGAAGATTTGGTAAAAGTATAATAATTTCTATAATTATTTGTTTTTAAATTTTATGATATTCAAAAACATAGGAAATAATAGATTAAATTGTAAGATTAAATATTTAAACTGAATTTAATCAAATTAATTAATAATCAATTTTTTTATATTAATAGCACATTTAAATCACACAAAAATTTGATGTGATATGATGATAAATTTTCTTATAACATTTTGATAAATTAACAAGTAGGTATAGGAGAATTAAAAAAAATCAGTGCAATGATCAATTTAATATCCTTAATTTATTTTCTTGGTTATATTACAATTTGAAAAAGAAATTTCTTACTCCACTTTATTTCTCCAACCAATAAATTAATTACATGCAATTTTTAAATAAAAATTGGTAAAAAAATTATTCTTGAACAAAATATATCCACTAATGCAGTTTTCTACTCTGTGTTTCAATAGAATTTCTTTAGAATTGAATTTTTTTTCCATTTTTAATAATTTTTACACGTGTCTACAAAGCTTAAAAAAGTATCTCGCTGGTAAAAATAAAAAAAATCTGGTTTTTGTAAATCCAAAAAAAAAAAATTATTTCTCAATTTATCAGAAAATTTTAATCTCTCCCCTTTTTTTCATGTTAAATACAATTTCTTTTGTGCAAGGCCATGTGCCTGCTGAGACTACTGGTGTGAGTGTAACTGTTGCCGCACAATTTGCAAACGCTGGGGCCATTGTGCGATTGCACGTGCGCCGCGCACACGCGTTTGCTGTAGCGACCCGTGAAAATTTTTCCGCACGCTGAGCATTGGTGGCCGGCGTCATCAAACAGCCGCAACACCGACGCCGCCACAAGTTTCTCTACGCCAAATCCTGTAATAAAAATTAATATCAAAATAACTTAAGTTATTGAAACCAAATTATTTGTTATGATTTGCGGAAAAACTATACTTAATGTCGCTTAATGTATTTAAAATATTATCCAAAAGGAAAACTCAACAGAATATTAATTAATTCAATTTCTTTTAATTTCATTTTTTTACATTGAAATAAAACATACTGCTTGGACGTCGGTGAAAATTTTGAATTATGAATTACCTTTTACACATATATTTTTTTTTAATTTCAAGAATTTTTTTATTAGAGAAAAAGGAAAGATTGGTATAACGACTGCTTATAAACACAATTTCTAGTAGGGCATTTATAACACGTTTGAATTCAATTAATTGATAGATTTTTTAGGTTCAATTTCAAATTTCAACAAGTTTTCAGTTTTCGCTCCTTGAGGTTTGAGAAAATTTTTGAATTGTCATAGTGCAGCTTTTTGAAAACATACTGGCAATTTTTACTCTTATTAAAGCGATATATGGATCTAATTTTGTTTTTCAGCTCTTTTGTGCAAAATTTAGCCAATGTTTTTTAATCTCCAGGCATTTAACTTATGGATTTCATATGTTAATCATATCAACCAGATTTCCCCGTGTTCATTTTGAAAGTTTGTGCCCAGCAATTAGCAGAAGCCATCCTCTGTGTGCTTTCTGAGCTGCTGCTTGTTTTGGAAGAGCTTTTTGCACTTTGAACATTGCGCGCGGTCCTTGTGCACTTTCCGCATGTGCCGACTGAGACCAGAGAAATGCGTGTATTTGCTGCCGCACAGTTTGCAAACGCTGGGGCCAAGGTGCGCCTTCACGTGCAAAGAGCACACCCTTTTGCTGTAGCGACCCTTGAAGGTTTTGCCACAGAGAGTGCACTGGAAACCGTCGTTGTCTCTCAACAGCATCGTGAACGCCAACTCTCTCTCGCCTGCTTCCACTAGTCCCTCATTGCCCAAATCCTCAAGTCCTGCGAAATATATTGTAAACAAATTAAACGAATTTTATATAGAACCGATTTTAAATGCAAATATGTTTTTAAATAAAAATTTTCAATTTTTATAGGTTTGTTGAATTTATTGAATGGTAATTTTCACAAGTAATAAATTATTACATTTATTCCCTTATTATTGACAGTAAAATTACGTTAGTACAACAAGGAGCTTGTGATATTTTCGTTGGGAAAAATTTTAACTGACTAAGAAGCACATCCATTATACATTTTGAGGTCAAGGTACCTATTTATTTTGCTAACCTATATGAACTTGGTTTGGTGAGACCGGGTGAACTCTTTTAATTTTATCGAGGTTGATTTTGAGAAAAGAAATTCAGAAAATTCCCATAAAGGTGCAGTATTAATTTTCATAAATTCAGTCTACCGAAACCATCAAATATTCTTATGACTTGTCGTTGGAAGAAACATCTAAAGACTGAACCTTTAAAATGAAAATAATAATAATAATTGAGGCATTGTTTGGAAATTGTATCAACTCCTTTTAAAAATCATCTTAAATTTTGATTTTGTGATTTTGCAATTCACGTTTACCACCAAATGTAGTTTTATTTAAAAGTATTAATCTGATAATGTTCAAGCTTCATCAATATTTTCTAATTGCTGTAACTGTTATTATTTCTGCTCATTTTTTGCAATATTTTGCTGCGATGTGTTTCCTGAGCCACTGTTTTGAGGCGAAGACCTTTTTGCACTTGTGACACTGCGTGCGGCCTTCGTGCATCGCTTTGTGCTGAGTTATTTCATGATGGTACTTAAACACTTTGCCACACAAATCGCAGGAATATCTGCGGCCTAGGTGAGCCGCTTTAACGTGAATGTGGCAATTTCCATTGCTGTTGCGGCCAGTGTAAATTTTTCCACACACCGTGCACTGGTAGCCGGCGTTGTTGCTCAGCTTCTTCACGGACGCCTTCGAAGGCGGCACTTTTTCATCGGTCGCTATGACGAAGCCAAAATTGTCAGGTCCTGCGAAAATATTGAAATGCATTCACATCAGAAAGTGAAATGGATCGTTTCAAGCAACAGAAGTTTTAAATTTTAGGATGATTTTTTTTAAAGAAGAGGCATCAACCATGTTCAGTAATTAAAAAGTTATATTGTTACTCAATAGTAATTTTATTTTATTTAAAAGGAATAAGTTGTTAACTATTTATTCAAGGTAATTTAATTTCCTATATATCACTGCACATTATCCTCTTTAATTAAACGATGAGCATTTTGGCATCTACAACACTGATAAAAATGTTTATTTTATATCTTAGTTCATAATTATTTGAAGAACGTTGCATTCAGAAAGGAGTGAAATAATCTCAATAATTGATGGAAAGTGTCATTATAAATTTATTACTTTCTAATTAACTTTAAAGATGTTGTTTTTTATTCCTGATAGACTGCTTTGTTACCAGTCCTCTTCATAGTTGTTAATATTTGTTTGGAAATTAATTACATTTTTTCATAATTTTCTACCGTGGGAAACATCCATTGTTGATATGAATTCATAAAAGCCCTATGAGGGAAAAATATGAAAAAAATTGTTCTTCTTTTAAATGAACTGAGCTGCTCAAAAATATAATTTACTATTCTAATATTTTCTTTCATTGCATGAATTTTCGTTTCTAGCAAGTTGCAAAGACCTTAAACATTTATGTTAAATGAGATATTGAAGACAAAAAAACTAGGATTTTTTCATCTTTTTCCACTAAATTTATTTTGGCGCTGCTTTTATTGTTAGCACATGAAAACTTTATTGATTATTTTTTTATCCGGTTTTCTTGCAATATTTGTCAACTAAGTGCCTTCTGAGCGCCATAACGCTGCTGAAAACCTTCTTGCATTT